AAGCAAAGCGTCAGATTTCCATTGGATCACGTGGTCTGTGAGTTTTTTGAAACTGTAAAGTACCTAGGTGGTCAAAGAACGCGAAATTTTCTTCGAGGCCCAGGATTTCATGGCACTGGACGTGGGGGAAAAAGGCAGTTCATGACCTTTGCAGATTTCAAACTCTGTGGTCCATCCCAACATGTTTCTAATCGCTGTAAGGCAGGTTATACAACAGACAGTGAGGTAATTAAACCCCATTTGCAATCCTTTCATGTGTTTTCTAGCCATCCAAAAGCTGACATTAATTACTTAGTGAGCAGTGATCAAGTCCAAGTTATAGGAGTCTCACTTGCTATGGACGGGACAGCCCTTAAGTCAGGACTAGAATTCGATACCAGGCAGAAAAGGATCATCGGGTTAACCTACAAAGTTGACTGGAATTATGTTTGCGACAACCCTGTTCCTAAACCTGAAGAAATGAAAGCGAATCTTATTACGAGTGCCGAAGTTACCTTTATGACGACCGTCGACAATAGCTCCACGATGCCAGTTGGTGTCCATTACCATCCAAAGTCAGTATCTGGAGAGGACATTCCATCGCAAATGCTTGGGATGGCAAAAACTGTACAAGTCTGTGATCGATGCTTAAATAAACAGTCTGCGAAGAACCACATTGTTACACATAATACTTCGCAGTGCAACAGTACCAAATACGACAGATGTCTTGAAATGAAAGCTATTTGTCAAGAATGTCAAACGAAGGGTCATTTCTCATATCTGTCTGCACTCAGATGCTGCGAATCCTGCCTAGAGGAGTCAGTTTAATGTTGCAGTCCTGGCTGTTGTTACAGACTGTGAGGAGTGCAATAAGCAGGCCCTACTAGAAATCGAAAAGATGTCTGAAAACAACACAATGCCGCCGAAACTTCTTCTCCTGACACCATTTCCTGACGTTGTTCGCATCGGTAAAAGTCTCAAATGCAGCTGGTCGAACTGGTTCATAGATCTGAATGGACAAATATATATAGCAGAGCGCGGTAATGCGTGTATAAGATTTGAAGACTCGATGAAAAGGTTAGGCTAAACCCCAACTCTCTACGCTCACGTGCTGATTTGGAGAGAACGCTAAGTGACTACAATCTTTCAATTGATGGAACCGTCCCTACATTTACGAAAGCGTCTTTCTCAGCACTTGATGCAGCTAGAAGCCAGGGTGACGAAGAACATGTTGCAAACTAATGTACCGCTTTCGAAGCCCGCAGCTGTATGTGTGGCCAGCGACGACTTGTTACTGTGTGCTGACGATGGTCACCGAGTTGTTTATCAGCTGGAACGGAATGGGGTTACAATAAACGGAAAGTTACGGAAACTAATAGCCTATCCAGAGGGTATTCATCACTTGGAGTCGATTGCAAAATCTGATTCTTCAGTTGTTTACTTCCCTGCGGCAAAAAGTCCCCACTGTAACGGTGGCCTGTACTGTTTTGACATGGAATCCAGTAAGGTAACAAATGTGCTTGAAAATATGACTGTCAACTGCAGAGAGATCAAGAAAGTAGTAAGATTCAAGGGGACATTAGTTTCACAGATGTTGGGGGTCGTCAAGTAAAGTGGTACAATCCATCGACCAAGAAAGTCGAAACTCTTGCCGGAGATGGAAGCGAAGGAGCGCAAGACAGGACTGAAAAAAGCTGCAGCTTCGTTCAAGTGCACGGCATTTGCAGTGTTTCAGATACACTTTTCACAACGGATGCTGCTGCAAGGAAAATCAAGCTTATGACGGGTTTGTCAGGAACAACAGACTTTGGTATTCTTTATGACACCTTTGGTATTACTTGCAAAGCCTTTACCCCTCAGCCAATTACGCCAGAGCAGGTCATTCAGAATCTGAACACAGTAGATGAGTACATCAAAGCTACGGTAATGGATGTCAAAGAAAGAAACAACCTCAAGGAGGACTCAACAACGAATGGTCCTCAAGGACCAGTGTCCCAGAAGACACAAATCTCTATCGAGCTTCTACTGAATGGTGTGAAGAGCCTTATGAGCAAAG